AAAAAAAAAAAAGGAAACTGTAGTCACCGACACCTTGACTTTCATTGCAGTTTCTCTGTAGGACAGACCTATTTTTAAGTGTTATAAAGGTCTGTGTCTCTTCCATTGTTAATCACCTTTTTCTCACCATTTGTGTAGCAACACACTACTTTCAGCAGTACAATACTGTTCAACTGATGCTCACGAGGGTCTGGTACCACAGTGTGTTCCAGCACGGCTTTCATGCAGACAGAGGAGGCTGTAAGTAATCCAGAAAAGTTGGAAACCTGTAGGAATTAGTAGCACCAGCTTTCGAGGCTTGATCAACCTTCATTGCTGCAGAACAGCTTTAAATTATTATTTTCCTGGCTGTTCACCTCTTACCTTTTCATTGGACTTGAACGACTGGAATTGCAAAAAGGTTGAGTTGTTCTAAAACTTTTGACCAATAGTGTATGTACATTTTTTAACTCATATATTTAGCTATGAGTGTCACTTATCACTGTATAACACTGTCACAGTACGTAATTACAACAGGAAACAGAGGAGTGTCCTCCATCTGTGGATCATTTGTTGCCAAGGACATAGATAAGAAGCATTCCTCATTGCAGGCTGGAGATTAGATCAATAGAATAAAAACCCAAACAAATAAACTTCAGTATAAATGTTTTTTAGCAAGTCTTTATGAACACTTATACGGGGTTTGTGCTAAAACAACAACAGCTTTATTGTTGTTTCACGTTGTCTTATCAGCTCGGTCCAAAGTATCAGTCACATCCAGGACAAGAAGTCTGTCCATGTAATGAAGCAGATGTTGTTAATAGAGTTTTTGTTCTCTGTGAATTTCACAGAAAAGGTCTTCTGCTGTTATTTGTCATGGTTAAAAAAATAAGCCAGGAGTCACTTCCATAGTAGACAAAATACTACTCATGCATGCTGTCACAAGAGGGCGTGATGTAACACAAGTAACGCACAATCAGGGCTTGGCAACACAGCGTTTATTTACAGCAGTTTCTCTCGTGGATCGTGGGTTTTGGACCCACGTTTCAGTTTCATATGATTTTTTTATTCCTGCGTTTATTGAGTTTTAAGTTCTTTTGCATTTTACATTCTTTCCTAATAGCACCTGTTTTCTGGTTGGCTTCATTACACTTATATTCTC